GATGGCCTACCCTTCCTTAATGAACAGAACCCACTCCGTAAGTTGATGAGCATATAGTCATCATTTTTGTCATGAGTGACAATGCAAAATCACCATAGCTATGAACTACCATAGATCAGAAAATTATAGTGTCGTACAAAATTTTTGAGTTTTAAAATTGTGCTGTGATTTAATTTTACTAAATAAGACTGTGTCATGTATTATTGAATGTGGCATGTAATTATATGGGTAATCTAATTTTTGTGAAATTCTAATTCAATAAAATTTAAATCACAGTAAAATTTCCAGATAGAGGGTATATCATATTCTTTAGGCAAAAGACATTGATGTATTGGAGAGATGTCAGTCAGTGAGAGAGTTATTAGCAATTCTTAATGGAAGCTATCTTGACCTGATCAGAGACTGTGAATTATTGCAGAGGTACACTATACTATATGATAATACTATACATGCACTTTTTACATGGACACACAAGTTGGTATGAAAGTAAATCAATTCTTCATTTTTAAAGCTTTGGTGTGTACAAATGTACATGTACATGTACAGTAATAGCTTTATTTTGACCACTTGTCATTTTAAAAGTAAATTGCAGAAAGTACATGTACGTGTACATGTGCTTGACTATTTGTATATGTACATCCTATTAAAGAATATATGCATATACATGTATATATATTTATATATATACATTTATATTTATTTTTATGTTTATTATAGATTAGCAGTGGCCAGTGCTGAAACTCCCTCTGGCGATCGCAAAGACATGCTTGGAGGATTCTCTCCTACGACACTTCCGAGACGAATCAGGAAAGAATCCAGTCCCCAATTCCCTCGGGCTGCCTCCCCTTCGGTCAGCACAAGAGAACCTTTTACGAGAGAGAGGAACTTCTCCTTTGCCAGTCCTAATGCAGTATTGCAAGTAGTTCTTGATGGAGTCGCGGCCAAAGTACTGTGTAGTATTTTTTTATTTTTAAATATTTTTGTGTTCCTATAGATTATGAGTTTTAAGGAGCTTTTTGAGAACCCAAAGTTTCTTGAGGAAATGGAGAAAGCCTCGCAGAATCTCAAGGGCCAGTCTGTAAAAGGTTAGCCCGTAAAACTAGGCGGGAAGTTCAGCTATACCTTTTTTTGATTGTTAGAGGACGTTAAGGGCTGGAACACAAAGTTTACAAAATACAGCAACGAGCTGGCAGAGCTTGATACCACCATTGATGCTGTAAGAAGTTTTGCTGGAACAATGGAGTCCGACATTAAATTGATAAAGAAAGGTAAAAGGAAAGGAGAAGAGAAAATTACTTAATGTGACGATTATTTAAATTTTTTTCTAGACATTCAATTTTACTTGGAGGCTGCTCTTGGATTAAATGACGGTATATGCTACTATAAATAGAATAACATTACACAGCCTGCATGTTACTAAAATTAGAATTCAAGTGCATATTGATATTACTAAAAATAGCATTACATTATTGTTTCTATTTTTAGATGTTGAGGTGACATACTCATGGGACAGATTATTCTCTCAGTGTTTGACGGCAGTTACAACTGGTTTTGCTCATCAACTCATAGCAGCTGCTAATTCTCATGTTAATACTTGTTCTGAATACATTAAGAGCCCAGTCGACGCCAGCCAGCAGTGGTTGGACCAGATCATTGCCAAAGGAGTGGTGGTCTGCTTTCAGTGCCTCCTACTACCTTCAGTGGTGAGTTAATACCACTGTTAGATATAGAGGGAGTTTAGGAGATTTTACTCTACCATAAAGTTTCTCATTAAATTTAGCTTTTGTTCTTCTAAAAATTTTTTCTAGATGTACATGTACATGCATGTACATGTATTATTATTTTTTATTGTTTTTTTAATTATTATTTTTCCAGAATCAAG